TCACCTGAGGTCAGGAATTCGAGACCAGCCTGGCCAACGTGGCAAAACCCTGTCTCTATTAAAAGTACAAAAATTAGCTGGGCATGGTGGCACACACCTGTAATCCCAGCTACTCCGGAGGCTGAAGCAGGAGAATCTCCTGTACCTGGGAGGTGGAGACTGCAGTGAGCCAAGATCACACCACTGCACTCTAGCCTGGGCCACAGAGAGAGACTCCGTCTTAAAAATAATAATAATAAAAATGGAAATAAAAGAAGACGCAGGAAGAAAGGGGCCATCTACTAGCCAAGGAGAGAGGCTTCAGCAGAAACCAGCCTTGCTGGCACCTTGGTCTTGGGCTCTAGCCTCAAGAACTGTGAGAAATATTTCTGTGGTTTAAGTCACCCAGGCTGTGGTATTCTGTTATAGCAACTGGAGCAGACTCATACACTAGCCATCTTCTTCATTTTTTAAAATACAGAGACAGGGTCTTGCTGGTCTCAAACTCCTGGGCTCAAGCAATTCTTCCACCTCAGCCTCCCAAAGTGCTGGGATTACAAGCATGAGCCACTGCACCTGGATTTTTATTGTTGTTGCTGTTGTTATTTTGAGGTGCTTTTTTTGGATACAGTATCTCAAATTGCCCAGGCTGGAATGCAGTCACACGATCATGGCTCCCTGCAGCCTCAACCTCCCAGACTTAAGTGATCGTCCCACCTCAGCTCCCAAGTAGCTAGAACCACAGGTGCACACCACCGCAGCTGGTTAATTAAAAAATTTTTTTAATATAAAGATAGGATCTCAGTATGTTGCCCAGGCTGGTCTTCAACTCCTTGGTTCAAAGGATCGTACCGCCTTGACCTCCCAAAGTGTTGGGGTTACAGATGTGAACCACCTGGCATGTTTAAAGAAAAACCAGGCCAGGTGCGGTGGCTCACGCTTGTAATCCCAGAACTCTGGGAGGCTGAGGTGGGCGGATCAGTCTGTTAACCAGACTGGCTACCATGGTGAAACCCCGTCTTTACTAAAACATACAAAAAACTTAGCTGGGCGTGGTAGCTCATACCTGTAATCCCTGCTACTTGGGAGGCTGAGGTAGGAGAATTGCTTGAACTGGGACCCAGGAGGCGGAGGTTGCAGTGAGCCGAGATAGCGCAACTGAACTCCAGCCTGGGCTACAGAGAGTACAGAGAGAGACTCCATCAGAAAAAGAAAGAAAGAAAGAGAGAAAGAGAGAGAAAGAAAGAAAGAAAGAAAGAAAGAAAGAAAGAAAGAAAGGAAAGAAAGAAAAGAAAGAAAGAGAGAAAGAAAGAAAGGAGAAAGACAGAAAGAAAGAAAGAAGAGAGAGAGAGAAAGAAAGAAAGAAAGAAAAGAAAGAAAGGGAAGGAAGGAAGGAGAAAGAGAAGAGAAAGGGGGGGAGGGAGGAAGGAAGGAAGGAGAAAGAAAGAAGGAAGGAAGGAGGGAAGGAAGGAGGGGGGAAAGAAAGAAAGAAAGAAAGAAAGAAAGAAAGAAAGAAAGAAAGAGAGAGAGAGAGAGAGAGAGAGAAAGAAAGAAAGAAAGAAAGAGAAAGAAAGAAAGAAAGAAAGAAAGGACGAACGAACAACCAATACAGGGACGCGAGATCAAAATAGGTTGCAGGGAGATGCAGATGATGACAAACTTCAGAGAACTGGGAATAATATTTGGTTTTTTATTGTTTTCTTGGCTTGGGATGGGGAGCATGAGAGGATTTTAAGCAGGAGTGTGACAAGATCTCCCTTACATTTCTAGCAGGACCACTCTAGATGCTGGGCAAACAGCAGATCACTCATGGGCAAAGACAAAAGCAGAGGGACCATGAGAAGGAGAGAGAAGAAGGCAGCTGGGACCAGGATGGCATCAGTGGGCATGGTGATGAGTGGGTTGGATTCTAGTGCTTGTTAAGGGTAAAGCTAGGCAGAATGCAGTGGCTCACGCCTGCAATCCCAGCACTTTGGGAGGCCGAGGTGGGTGGATCACAAGGTCAGCGGTTGGAGACTAGCTGGCCAACATGGTGAAACCCCATCTCTACTAAAAATACAAAAATTAGCCATGCATGGTGGCTGTCGCCTGTAATCCCAGCTACTCGAGAGGCTGTGGCAGGAGAATCACTTGAACCTGAGAGGTGGAGGTTGCAGAGAGCTGTGATTGAGCCACTGCACTCCAGCCTGGGCAACAAAGAGTAAAACTCCATTTCAAAGAAAAAGATCAATATATTAAAAAAAAAAAAAAAAAAAACAAGAGTCAAGCTAGTGGCTGGGTGTGGTGGCTCACACCTATAATCCCAGCACTTTGGGAGGCTGAGGCAGGCAGATCACTTGAGATCAGGAGTTCAAGACCAGCCTGGTCAACATGGTAAAACCCTGTCACCACAAAAAATACAAAAATTAGCTGGGTGTGGTTGCACATGCCTGTAATCCCAGCTACTCAAGAGGCTGAGGCAGGAGAATCACTTGAACCCGGGAAGAGGAGGCTGCTGTGAGCCGAGATTGCACTACTGCACTCCAGCCTGGGCGAAAAAGCAAGACTCCATCTCAAAAAAAAAAAAGAAAGGAAAAAAAAAGTAGAGCTAGTAGGAATTACCAATGGATTAAAATGTGGAGTGTGAAAGAGAAGGGTTATGGATCATTCCAGACGTTTAGCCTGAACAACTGGAAAAATGTGGCTTCAGTAAAGTTTGGCCCAGTTTCGTTTGGGATGTGTGTTAGACATTCACATGGAGGTGTCGAGCAAGTGGTTGGATGCTCAGGGACAGAGTCCAAAAGGGCAGTCTGAATAGTGGTAGACACAAGAAGGCCCTGCCCGCAACCCCATGCTTCCCCACCACAGCCCCTATCACAGAATATCTGCAAACAGCTATGTACTTGTCTGCATTCCATACTTGTTAAACTGAGTGAGAGAAAACACTTATGTGTCACGTTTACCATTGTACGTCCTAGGCAAATGATCTGTGGACTAAATGGGATGATACAATAAGGGGTTAACAATTACTGAAGTGCTGATGTTCCTAAACATTACCCACCCCTTCCTGAGCCAGATAATGTTATCTTTTCCAGCAGGCTGTTCAGGTCCCCACCCGCTTCCTGTACCTATCGGACTAATTAGGGACATTTGTGGGCAGAGGAAGATGGGTCAAGAGAGTCTGGAACAAGAGCTAGAGGACTCAAGAGAGAGATTTAGACAACCTATCAAATGCAGAGCCAGGAGAAAGGAAGGAGGGGAGGAGAAGGGGAGAGAAAGAAGAGACCAATCCTGCCATTTGGTCTGCAAGTGGAGCAGGGGTTTCTTTGTTTTATACACTGTCTTTGGAGCATGGAGGGTGTTAAATGAGAGATTCCAAAGTAGTGTGTGTGAGAGAGAGAGAATTAGGAAGAGAGAAAAAAGGTATGAGAAGTTTTGCTAGGGGAGAGAACTGACTCTCTCCATGGGTGGCTTTGAAAACCACAAGCTAGGAACAATTTATCAAGAAGACATAGCAATCATAAATATATTTACACCTAACAACAGAGCAACACAATTCCTGAAGGAAAAAAAAATCGGGAAGCAAAAATAGACAAAACTAAGGGAAGAAACAGATAAATCCAAATAATCAATAGTTCTTTCTCAGTAATTCACTAAAATTGATTTTTAGAAAATCAGCTGCAGCGAACCATGATTGTGCCATTATACTCCTGCCTGGGTGACAGAATGAGATCCTGTCTCAAAAAAAAAAAAAAAAATCAGCAAGGATATAGAAAAATTGAGTCAACACTGTTTTTTTGTTTTTTGAGATGGAGTTTCGCTCTTGTTACCCAGGCTGGAATGCAATGGCATGATCTCGGCTCACCACAACCTCCACCTCCTGCGTTCAGGCAATTCTGCCTCAGCCTCCTGAGTAGCTGGGATTACAGGCACGCGCCACTATGCCCAGCTAATTTTTTGTATTTTTAGTAGAGGTGGGGTTTCACCATGTTGACCAGGATGGTCTCGATCTCTTGACCTCGTGATCCACCCATCTCGGCCTCCCAAAGTGCTGGGATTACAGGCGTGAGCCACTGCGCCCAGCCGAGTCAACACTGTTAACAAATTCGATCTAACATTTACAGAACTCTGTACCCAACGACTGCAGAATATAAATGGTTTGCAAGTGTACTACCAAGTCTATTGAAGATAGACCATGTGGCCAGGAGCAGTGGCTCAAACCTGTAATCCTAGTACTTTGGAAGGCTGAGGCAGGAGGATCTCCTGAGCTCAGGAGTTCAAGACAAGCTTGAGCAACATGGTGAACCCCATCTCTACCAAAAATACAAACATTAGCCAGGCATGGTGGCTCACACCTGTAATCTCAGCTGCTTGTGGGGCTGAGGCAGGAGAATTGCTCAAACCTGGGTGATAGAGGCTGCAGTGAGATGAGATTGCGACACTGCACTCCAGCCTGCGTGACACTGTGAAACCTTTTCTCATAAAAACAAAAATAATATAAAATAACAATGAAAAGACCATGTGCTGGGCCATAAAATAAGTCTTAATTATCTTAATTAATTTCAGAAGATTCAAATCTTAACAGTATGTTCTCCGACCACATTGGTCTTAAAAAACATACCAATAACAAAAAAACACCTAGAAAATCCTAAAGTATTTGGAATTTAAATAACTTCCCTTTAAATAACCCATAAGTCAAAAGAAAAAAAAAATCACAAGTGAAACTTGAAAATATCAAACTGAATGATAATGAAAACACATCAAATTAATATTTGTGGGAAGCAGCTAAAGCCGTACTTGGAGGGAAATTTATAGCTAAATGATTGTATTGGCGGGGGAGGAGAGACGGGTAAAATTAATGACCCAGAAGTCTGCCTTAAAAAAAGCTAGAAAAATTAAGAACAAAGAAGGCCTGAAGTAAACAGAAGAAAGGAAATACCGAAGTTGAGAGTAAAAATCCGTGGAATCAAACAAATGGTAGAGAAAACAAAGCCAAAAACCGGTTCTTGGAAAAGATTAACAAAATCGAAAAACACAGCTACTACCGGACTTTCTCTTTTTTATTCATCTGAGTTTTTTGTGCTGACTGTGCATGGACCGGTTCACACGGGTGCTGGGTTCACACGGGTTTCAAGGGGAGGCAGAAGGAGAGAGCACGCCACAGCACCCAGAGCGCCTCCATTCCAGACAAATGCGCATGCGCTCCTCCGTGCCACGCCCCTGCTCACTGCTGGATCCTGCGGATGCTCTGCACCTGGAAGGTCTGGGCGTGCGAGCCCCACTCCCGGAAATGCTTGTAGTCACCGGAATGGTGATCGCACTCCAGCACATACTGATATCCTCGGTAGCCAGGAAACTGGGAGCAAACCCAACTAGAAAAGAGGAAAAGCAGACAGTTACTCTACAGAGACATTAGCATGGTGATCAACACAGGGGCAAAGGGATCCATGCACATGCACACATTCCAGCCATCCTGGCCTTTCTTCAGTGCTCACAGGGTGCCATGCTGTCTCCCCTACCACAGGGCCTTTGATCATGCCATTCCCTTTGCCAGAAGAACCATCCCAGTCTTTCTTGTCCTGGACAAGTCGTATTTGTCTTTTATGAATCAGCTCAATTATTAGGGCAATCTGACTCATTCCCCAAATCAGTCCACAGTCCCTTATTATACCTTTGTAGCACTCATGTAATTCGATAATTTTCAAATTATTTGTAAAATATCACCCTCCCTTGCCAGCAGGTAAGCTCCAGAGTGTAGGAGCGTGTAAGTCTTGTTCATCATTATCTCCACCTGCATAAATATATAAAGGCCTAGCACAGAAGAAGGGCTCTCTAAATACTTGCTGAATAAATGAACAAGTGAAGGAGTGGGAAGTCTCGTTCTTTCCCGTTTCCCCCTCCTTCCATATACAGAGGCACTTCTAAGAAAAAGGCTATCATTGATTTTTTTTTTTTTTTTTTTTTTTTGAGACAGGATTTCGCTCCGTTTCCCAAACTGGAGTGCAGTGGTGCGACCTCGGCTCACTGCAACGTCTGCCTCCTGGGTTCAAGTAATTCTGCCTCATCCTCCCGAGTGGCTGGAACTACAGGCATAGCCACCACACCTTGCTATTTTTTTTTATTTTTAGTAGAGATGGGGTTTCACCATGTTGGCCAGCTGGTCTCGAACTCCTGACCTCAGGTGATCCACCCACCTCAGCCTCCAAAAGTGCTGGGATTACAGACGCAAGCCACCGCATCTGGCCCAATTCATTGATTTCTACACTGAACAGGGCAAGGATTGGTGTCTGGTTTTCTAAGTCTCCATTTCCCTTTCTGTAAAAGAGGGAGTGAACTCAAGAATCACAAGGGGTCCCTCTTACTCTAAAAGAACATGATTCTTTGATGGTTCCTGAAAGCCGAAAAAAAAAAACAACAACAACAAAAATAAAAAATCCTACTTCCCATCTTTGACCCCTGCCTACCAGGAGCCAAGGGGCACCTCAGAAAGTGGCTCTGATGTGCTCCCTAAGTAAGAATCTCACACCTTAGCCTTTACCGGCCACCTCCTGGGTGGAAAAGAAAGGGCCAGGCCATGTTGAGTTTGAAGCTGGATTGTTACCTACTTGCTGATGGACTTTAAGCAGGTTGCTTGAGCCACACCTATTTCTTTATGCCTGGGGACATTCATTCTCCCCTCTTCTGGCCACGGACCCTGTTGCCTCTCGTTCTCAATCAAGGTGAGAAAATGCGGCTGATGCTAGCAATGACCACATAACCAAACCTAACCAATCAGAACACACCATTCCTGTGGGGATAGTTATTGGTTCAAAGTCCAGCACAGGATGCAGCTGGACCAGTGAGCACCTTTCTTGGAACCTTTAATAGAATCATTGAGACTGGACACTGCCTTTCCCTAGGGCTGGATGTAAACCTGAGGCTGCCGCCTTTGCCTTCACACAGGAAGAGCTTGTCTAAGAATATAGCCACACAGAGGTAGGCAGAGCAACAGGTGTGGGGTTGCTGGGGGGAAACAGATACCTGCTGTAGCACTTGGATCCAGCTGTGCTTGAAACTAACTACTGGGGCTGCTAAATATAGTTTGGACTTAAAGCAGTTTGATCTGAGTTTCTGAACTCGAAGCTAATTGCGGTGGTCAATAAATATCCTCTGGGCTTAAACCAGCTTGATCTGGGTTTCATCCTTCAGATTCTGCCTGATACCTCCTTGTGCCTCAGTGTTCTCCTCTGGAATGTGGGCATCAGAGCACAAAAGCCCCCAGCACACAGTTTTCACAGGAGGTACCCCTACCCCTCCCAATATCCCCTATTTCCTCTGCCAGGCAGAGCCTTGGATACACTTACGCCCCAGAGTGGACACGGAAGGACCCTACTTCATTGCCTTCCCATCCCATGGCCTGGAGGGAGGGATAGTCGTCACTCAGCTCTCCTTTCTTGCCCAGGAAGTTCTCTTGCTCGAAGATTGTCAGCCTCGAGTCACGGTGGTTCTACAGGGACGGGGACACAGTCAGACCACCAGGCTCCCAGTTAGAAACCCAGAAGCCTCTCCTGGCCTCTCTACCCCTGCCCTTGTCTCCCAAATCAGCCTTCCTTGCAAACCTTTGGAAGGGCAATAAGGCAACAGATACCAGAAACGTTATCATTTGCCCTTCCAGAAATGTCCACAAAGAGAATAATTATGGAATAAATAGGCTGCAAGGATGTTCATCATAGCAGTTAAAAAGAAAAAAAAAAAAAAAAAAAGGAACCAACCTTTATGTCCCAAATCGGGGATCCAGTGGTAAGCTGAGTTGTAGGTTGGACATCCCTAACCTAAAAATCTGAAATCCAAAATGCTCCAAAATCTAAAACTTTTTGAATGATGACATGACACTCAAAGAATGCTCATTGGAGTATTTCAGATTTTGGATTTTTGTATTTGGGCTGCTCAACTGTAAGTATTACAAATATTGCAAAATCTGGGGGGAAATATTCAAAATCCAAAATCCTCCCGGTCCCAAGTGTTTCATATAAGGGTCACTCCACCCTGGCCATAGCAAGATTTTCCTTCAGAATTTTAATGATAAATACGGCACCTTATGTCATTTTAAATCAATAAGACTTGGAAAATAAAATACACTTTTTTCTTTTTGGAGACAGAGTCTCACTTTGTCATCCAGGCTGGAGTGCAGTGGTGCAATCTCCACTCACTGCAACCTCCGTCTCCTGGATTCAAGTGATTCTCCTGCCTCAGCCTCCAGAGTAGCTGGCACTACAGGCATGCGACACCACACTCAGCACATTTTTTAACATATTTTTGGTAGAGATGGGGTTTTGCCATGATGGCCAGGCTGGTCTTGAACTCCTGGCCTCAAGTGATCTGCCCTGCCTGCCTTGGCCTCCCAAAGTGCTGGGTATAGGTGTGAGCCACCGTGCCCAGCCTAAAATGCACCTTTCTGAGCCTCGATTTCTTCATCAATGAGATGGAAATAATAATGTCCACCTCCACCCACACTCCACGAACAGCAGTAAAATGTAAAATCAGGAGCACCAATATTGAATTAGGAGCAAGAAATGAAATCCTTCCTCCTGACTTGGACCTACCATCCCTGGTACCCAGCTTCTCTCAGGGTCCCTGAATCACACACAAAAAAGGGCACAAAGCTGGCAGGGGCTCCTTTCACAACCAGGGTTCCTGTGAGCAGAGAGTTTAAGGCGGGCTCTGGCCAATGCTCTACATTCTTCTTCCTGATGACATTGCTAATATTGGCCCATTTCAAGATGAAGAAACTGAGGCTTGGAGAGGAAAGAGACTGAACAGCCCTTGTCACACTGCTTGAAGAGATGACATGAGACTTTCAACTCTGGGACATTTGACTCCCCAGTGTCCATGTAAGGGGCTCGGGCCTCCCCAGGACGTAGCAGTGGCAGAACTCACAGCGCAGGCCACCGGCCTGAAGGAGGTGAGCCTCTCAGAAGGGTAGGCTGTGTTGCCGCTCCAGGCATCCCAGCTCGGGTATTCGCCCTGTTCCAGAACATACTGCTGCCCGTGGAAGCCAGCATGCTCGAAGCCCACCCACCTGCAGACAGAGGACAGAGCGTGCAGGAGGTAAGCGCCCCCCTCACCCTGCATTCTAGACCAGCAAATGGGTCTAGATCGGTCATAGTCACAACCCTTCAGGGGTGATTGTGCCCGAAGAAAACACTCGGCCATGTCTGGAGATATTTTTTGTCACAGCTAGGGGAGGGGCTGCAATGGCCATCTAGAGGGCAGATGCCGGGGATGCTGCTAGACTTCCCATAAAGCACAGGCCAGCCTGTCCTGCAAAGGATGATCCAGCCCAAAACATCAGTAGTGCTGAAGTTGAGGAACCCTGCTCTAGACCTACACCTGACCTGCTGTGTGTCCCATAGGTACCTTGCACCTTTGTCCGTGTCCGCGGAGGCCACGGAGGCAATGCTGACTGCAGACTCACCTAAGCCTTGGTGGAATTCCCTGCAATCCTGCCAGGGTGTAGGGAGACTCCCTTCTTAATGTCTCAAGACCTATGCTTGGAATGCTGGGACATGGACTCTCTTTTCCCCTCTGGACTTAAAAAAAGAAGTGAAAGAAGTCTTTTTTTTTTTGAGACAGGGTTTTGCTCTTGTTACCCAGGCTGGAGTGCAATGGCGCGATCTCGGCTCACCACAGCCTCCGCCTCCTGGTTTCAGGCAATTCTCCTGCCTCAGCCTCCCGAGTAGCTGGGATTACAGGCACACACCACCATGCCCAGCTAATTTTTTGTATTTTTAGTAGAGACGGGGTTTCGCCACGTTGACCAGGATGGTCTCAATCTCTTGACCTCGTGATCCACCCGCCTCGGCCTCCCAAAGTGCTGGGATTACAGGCGTGAGCCACCACACCCATCCCAAAGTGAGAGAAGTCTTGTGAGGAACTGCTGCAAGTCTGTCATTTTCCTCCCTCTCTTGCAGGAGACGGCTACGTGGCAGCTCCTCATCTGCCTCTCTGGCCACTCTGAGATGTGGGGCGTTCCACCTCACTGCCCCACAGGTGGCTGCAGCAGGCTATCGCTGAAGCATAAAAGTGGATCTTCGGCCACGGGGATCCCACCATTTCGGCTGCCTGTCATCCGGCCCCCTTTGTTTTGGTGTCACCCCATAGGACAAGGGACACAGGAGGCTGACACCGTGTGCACCTTGCTTTTGCTGTCTGTGTAAGTAATAAACTGAATCTATCCGAGCTCATTGTCTGCTTACTGGCTGAGTCTGTAAGCCTGCTGGACATACCCCTCCCTAGAAAGCCTCTGTTCTCATCTGATCCCCTTTTCCCACCTGCACAAACCAGAAGCTAAAAGAGTAAAAATCACCCAAGATGACCTCAGGTGGCACTCACAGGCATAGCATTAAGTGACTCCAAATCTCCTTTCTATCTACTTTCCAACCTTCCAAAACCTTTTATTTAATATGGTAGCCACTGGCTACATCTCTTTTCTACTTTCCAACTTTCTAGAACCTTCTATCCAATATGGTAGCTACTGGCCACATCTCCTTTCTACCTACTTTCCAACCTTCTAGAACCTTCTATCCATAGCTACTGGCCACATCTCTTTTCTATCCACTTTCCAACCTTCTAGAACCTTCCATCCAATATGGTAGCCACTGGCCACATGTTAAATTTAAACTTAAATAAATTAAGATTAAATAAAAAATTCAGTTCTCTAGTCATGTTGGCTACCTTTCAAATCCTCAGTGGTCACTTCTGGCCAGTGGCTCTGAAATGGACACAGCAGGTGTAGAAATCTCCATCATTGCAGAGAGGTCCACTGAAGGGCAGTGGTCTAGAAAGTCTTGGTGTGTTATTAGCGTGTCCTTAACACCTCTCTACATCTCCTTAATCTCTCTCTCTCTCTCACACTCTCTTTTATTTTATTTTATTTTTGCAAAAAATGATCGGGCCACATGCTTAGCAACAAGACTATTTAGCTAAAAATTAATAGCATTTAAAACACTACATGTATTTTTACAGTTACTTTCCACTTATGGTGAGTGATGTTGGCTTTCAATGTATGGCTAGGAGGGACATTTTTACACTCAACACTGGATTCTAAGGAGCTTCTCCTGCAGGGCTGCCTCATCCAGTGGTCAGGGTCTGTGCAAACAACAGCCTCCTACTGTTGGGCAGTGTGCAACCTGCATAACCTTACATGGCAGTCCTGCACACTCCTCAGCACTTCAAGAGGGCACACCAATAAGAGCCTAGGAAGAGAGGACCTAGAATATCTAAAAGTCCTAACACCCCTCTCTCGGTCCCTTCCTGTCCACCCTCTACCCCAACTCAGTATCCCCCTAGACTCACGCTCCACTCAGCACTTTCAAAGATCGCACAGTCTCGAAGCCAAGGTCCAGCACGCTGGGGCACTCGGCTGTGAACTCATGTCGCCGGCCCTGGAAGCCGTCCTGGTCCCACACCACCATCTGCGCCAGAAAAAAAGGTGGAGATCCGCATCAGAGTCCCCTGGAGGGTGAGGGGTTGGGGCTGACTCCAGGATCTGGCAGGTAAAGCGGGGACTGCAAACTCAGATGCCTCCAGGAGCCAGGCAGGCAGGGGTGGTGAGGACTGTGAAGAACCACAGAGCGCAGGCGCCAGGTAAATGGGTGGCCACCAATGGTTGCCAGGTGGGAATTGGGAATATGGGTCAGACCTTCCAATTTCTCAAGACAGTCACTAGTTCTGGACTTTTACGTGGTTCTTCCAAGCTTTTAAAGGCTGGTGATAAATTCAAAAGCTTTACAAAAACAAACAAATACACACAGAGATGGTCAATGAAGTCATACCCAAAGACTGTGCAATCTCTGCCAAGAGTGGAACAAGTCAACTTTGGGAACCAGCAGACCCAAGTGCACATTTGATCTCCCTGTATGTGACATACAAGTCCCTTCTTGATTCTGAGCCTTGATTGTGCCTCTGCGAAACAGGCATTCATAATGCCCTTCTCCTGGGATTCCTGGGGACCGGAACCCTCCCACATGCCCTGGACACCCCCTCCCCATGCCCCTTCCTACCTTCCAGTGTCCTGCTGACTTGGTGCATTGCAGGGTCATCGTGGCCCCTTCCTACAGAAAACAAGAAAGTCATCATCTCCCACCCTGACCCTCTGCTCTCCTCCTTATGCAGAGGAGTAGTTAGGACCTGGTCAGGATCCAGATGAGAAGTCCAGGAGTGACTGGGCTAGGGGCAATATGTGGCTTTGGCCTGTCTCTCTCCTGTCCTTTCCATCTGTCACTAATGCCATCTTCCATCCTGTCCCCATCTCAAAACTCACCCATGCTGGGTCTCTTTGCCTCTGATCCCAACTTAATATTCTTTTATCTGCTTGTTTCGGGAAATTTTCTCTGGCTGCTGGTGGGTGGATGCATCGCCCCAGTGAGTGCTAAAATGCTCAGTGTGAAAGAACCCTTCCAAAGACAGCACCTAGCTCCCAGAGGTAGCTCTGATGGTGGAAATGTAGGCAACAGGGCTACAGGAATAATTCTGTTTTTAAATGAAGGGAGCGGGCGCTGGTCTTGACGGTTGGGGCTAATCCTTGCTTAGGATGAGGATGGCATTCAGGATGACACAGTGACATCCCTAGGACTAGGGACCTGGGCTCCTCGCCTCCCGGGATGCTCACTCAGAACTCTGATCCCACCCCTTTCTCCAAACCTGGGACTTACCGAGATAGGCCCAGGGAACATGTCAGATCTGAGACCAGCCGAGGACAGGCTCTTATAGGCAGGGAGGGAAGAGGGGCCCCTGGGAGACAAATCCCCGACTCAGCAACTGGACGGCAGAAACAAAAGCCAGCCCTGGCTGAAGAGCCAATGGCAAGCTGTCAGCAGCTCTGGCTTTAGCAGGGAGCGAATAGATCAGATCACCACCCCCAGGGATCAACCACCACGAAGGAGAGAGGTGGAAGATTTGCCTTCATCGGCCCCACAGGGCTCCTGACTAGAGCAGGAGAATGAGCACTAGATGAGGAGTCCAGAAGCTTCCTTCCTAGCTGTGTGAGCTTGGGCGAGTCATTTCCCCTCAATTTCTGCCTATAAAATGGGGCAGAAACAGACTATATCACAGAGTCGTTGCGAGGTTATATAACATGCCTGGTACTGAATAAACATTGAGAAAATGCCTCTTCCATTCCTCCTCTCGTTCCTCTTTCTCTTCCAGTTGAAGCAATCAGGATAGGCTGCCTGTTGGAGGAGGCATTGGAACGAGACTCTGAAGGATGGGGAAGATTTGTACAGAGTCAGAATGGAAGGAGAGGCATTCGAAGAAGAATTTCAGAGGTGGGAACTTGGGGCACATGTACAAGAAAGAGCTGGTAGCCCAATTGGCCTGGAGCCCAGAAGACCTGGAGGGAAGTGAGGCAGGAGAAGAGGGCGAGCCCAGGGCCTGCTGGGTCCGCAGATGAGTCCAGATGGTTCTGGGGGCAGCATAAAGGAACTGTTGTTTGCAAACATGCTTTGCAAACTGTAGCACATTTGCCAAATATCCAGGACTTGTACAATTTGCGGTGTGCCTCTTGTCCCTAAACCCTGCCCTCTGAATTGGCCTAAGAGGAGCCTCTTACAGCAGAGGAAAAGAGCATGACTGGAAACCCAATCATCCGAGATGAAATCCAGCCCTGCTTCTTAACACCTGGGCGACCTGGAGGATCTCTGAGTCCTGAGACCTGTAAAGTGGCCACACCTGTTTCCTTTCAGGGCTGTGAAACGCAGCTCTATCAAATGCATGACTTTAGGCCGGTTGCAGTGGCTCATGCCTGAAATCCCAGCACTTTAGGAGGCCAAGGCAGGTGGATCATCTGAGGTCAGAAGTTCAAGACCAGGCTGGCCAACATGGTGAAACACCGTCTCTACTAAAAAAATACAAAAATTAGCCCTGCGTGGTGGCAGGTGCCTTTAATCCCAGCTACTAGGGAAGCTGAGGCAGGAGAATTGCTTCAACCTGGGAGGCAGGGGTTGCAGTGAGCCAAGAGATTGAACCATTGCATGAGACTGGGCAACAGAGCAAGAGTTTGTCTCAAAGAAAAAAAAAAAAAGCGTGACTTTGATGAAGGGTTAGCATGACAACTAAAGGTTAGGAATGCAGCCTCTACAGCCACAGTGCCTGGGTTGCATCCCACTCTTGCTGGCTGGGTGACTTTAAGCATGTTACTTAATCCCTCTGAGCCTCAGTTTACTCGTGTGTAAAATGGGTATAACAAGGTAAATTGGGATTAGCCTGAGGGACGGGGTAGTGTGAGGATAAATGTGAATTGCACATTAATAGCAGCTGGAATTACTCCTGCAACATAAAAAAATTGTGTGGTATTGGCCGAGTGCGGTGGCTCACACCTGTAATCCTAGCCCTCTGGGAGGCCGAGGTGGGTGGATCACAAGGTCAGGAGATGGAGACCATCTGGCCAACATGGTAAAACCCTGTCTCTACTAAAATAAAAAAAAAAGAAAGAAAGAAAGTTAGCCAGGCATGGGGGGCACATGCCTTTAGTCCCAGCTACTCGGGAGGCTGAGGCAGGGGAATCGCTTGAAGCTGGGAGGTGGAATTTGCAGTGAGCCAAGGTCACGCCACTGCACTCTAGCCTGGCAACAGAGCAAGACTCCGTCTCAAGACGAAACAAAACAACAACAAAAATAGAATGGCATTTTCATCATTATCACTGCTAATAATAAAGACAATTACTATTAATTGTTGATCAAAAAGCAGGTGTGCATAGTTCTTAAAAGCTTGGGTTCATGAGTAAAGATGTGTGTTCCAATTTCATTTTGCGTTTCTGTTTTTATGAGAAAGCGGGCTGGGACAGAGGAAGGAAGGGAGTTGCTTTGGTTTCCTTGTCTGTAATTGGGGCTAATCCCAAAAACTTCATCCTTATACTGAGGAGTACAGGAAAATCCAAAACCAAAAAAAAAAAAAAAAGAAAAGAAATTGGCCCTGTAAGACAGGGAAAAAAAGAAAAATATATAGTAATAAAAAAATAAAGGATAAAATAGTAATAATAATAAATGCTCAGAGGGGAGCTATGGTGGACCATCCCCCTCCTCTGCCCCCACCCTGGGGCAGATGGTCCATTCCTGGGGGGTTGGGAGGGCATGGAACTGCCCCAGATGACCTGACTCTGAAGCCTAGACCAGTGGGTGGCCCCTTGCCACAGGCATCTTGGCCCCGGTTCCAGTGGCTACCCCATTTTGCAGTTCCTGCCCACACTCACCAAGTCTTGGCCCAGGATGAAAGGCCAGGAGAGGCTGGGAAGTGAGGGGGTGGTAGGTGGGTGGAGGGACAGAGGCAAAGCTGGCTGCAGGCCAGGGAGATCTTGAGACAGAGCTGGGCTCCATGAGGAAGCCCACACCCCTGAAGAAGAGGCAGGAGCCTATCCAGATGCCACCCCCAGTACACCCTGCCTGGGACTGGGGCATCGACTGTGGGTGACCCAGCTGAGCAGCTCCCGAGGCTCCCTCTGACCCCGGCTCCACTGCGAGTCCCCACCGTGTGACTTTGTTGAAGTCACTTGTTCCACCTGGGCCTCGGTTTCTCCATTTGTGAAATGAGGGCATTGGACCCTGTGGTTTCTGGCGTCTGCTCTGCCGTCTTGAGGCCTGATTGCCCCGCCATGACCTCTGTCTCTACCTCTCACTCCTTCACTGCCCACGTCCCCTGTTCCTCTCTGTGTCTCTGTCCCCACCTTTCTCTTTGTCTGTCACTTCTCTGTCTCTGCCTATCTACTTCTCTCTCCTTGACTTGGTTTCCCTATCTCCCCTGCACCCCGCCTTCTGTCCTGGTCCATTGGAACCACCATTTAGTCATTGGATATGGATTGAGAACCCACGATATACCGAGCCCTACCTAGCCAGGCCTAATGAGGTGCTGGGGCCAGTGGTGAGCAAGATGTGCTGGGCATCTGGGCTTCCCAGAGCGGGAGGCTCTGAGACAGGCAGTCACATTCCTGGCCACCAGCCCTATCCCCTGGGTCAGATAACATGGCCTGGGTAGAGGCAAGGAAGGGAGATTACAGGAGGGGTAACCGTCGACAGGTCAGGAAAGGGTGGGGCCCAACGTGGGTAAAAGAAAAAGACCCAGGTCTCTGATATTCAACCCAGCTGAGCACAGTGAGACTCCCTGCTTCCCGCCCCTTCCTACAAACAGGAAGTCAGGTCATGGGGACCTCAGGCCAAAGTCAAGACTGGACAACAGGAGAAGGAAGCACGCAGGCCCAGAGCTGGCCTGGGCTGGCTCTGACCTCTCCGTGCCTTTTCTTTCCTCTTCTGTGAAATGGGCATAATGAAAGTGCCAAATAAGTCAGATTATCCTGGGGATTGGCAGAGAGAGCACGGGGTCAGCACACAGTGAGCACTCCGTAAAAAAGGCTGTCCACATCGAAGCCAAAGGCAGTTTTTTGTAAAGCTGCCTTTACAAAACGCTTCTCCTATGCTCACTGTTACCTTCTTTTCTGTGTGGCATCCAATAGGGACACGTGCCCACCTTATCACTGCAGACACAGAGGCCCTCTGAGGGGTAGAGACCGACCCAAAGCCACACAGTCATAGTGGCTGAGTCAGGATTCAAACTCTGGTCTCTTGCCGCCCAGGGTCTTCCCTTTTCCCTGCCTCAAGTTGGCAGCCAGCAGGGACCCTTTGGGGGCAGGGGAGGGTTGGAAGGTGAAGCTGCTGTGGCCAGGGTTTCTGCTGTGACAATGGAAAGTGCTGCTGTCTGCAGTGATCCAGGCAAGGTCGGGGCCCCAGTACCCCGCACCCGGCCCAGGCCTGCTGAGCCAGCTTCCCTTTTGTGCCACAGACTATAGGGCCTGATGTCTGCCAGACTATAAAATGGGGGGTCGGCCTCTAGTCACCCATAGCACCCGCCTGCCTGCCTGTCCTCCAGCAGGAAGTAGCCAGTCCCCAGGTAAGATGGAACCCACAGTGCAGCTGAGAGCTGAATGGGAGGGGAAGAGAAAAGGGAGGTGGAGAGAGGTAGGTAGAGGTAGCAGGACCGTGAGAGTCAGAGACGCAGGGCCCTGGAGATAAAGACAGAGAGAAGCTGAGAGCGAAAGAAACGGAGGGAGAAGGAGGGGGACAGAGACAGAGACAGAATAAACAGAGAGAAGTAAAGATTGTTAAAAAAAAAAAAAAAAAAAGAACAGATAGAGAGACAAGCAAAGACGCAAAGAGAACAAGATAGTGGGGGACGGAGGAACAGAGAGGGAGAGAGAAACAGACCAGAAGATAGGCAGAAAGAGGGAGAGAAGCAAGAAACAGACAGCAAAGAGAGGAAGGAGAGGAGAGACAGGGAGAGGGTGAAGGGGAGAGAGACAGAGAATGAGAACATCTCCAGGAAGGAGTAAGTCCAGCTGCCAGCCCTGGGGGAGTGTTGAGAGCCACAGATGTGGCCCAGATGTCTGGTCCCCCTCCGATGAACAGGGCACCTCAGAATATGCACCGCCTTCCTGGAGGAGTCTCGGGAGGGACCTGCTTATCCCAACTAGCTCCTTCACACAGAGTATGTTCCAGAATCAGCTTGACCAGAGGGTCTTAATCTGTGCTATCAGGGGGGTCCTCAAATCCCGTAACATTGTCTCCAAAGTTAAAGGGGGCATTATTTTTGTCAGGGGACAAAGTTGAGGTATTCATCAAACATTTGAAGGCGTCCAGGACCCCAAAGCAACAAGGAATGGCTGGAATTGACCAAAGCCCTCTCCACGCAATGCCCGCCCAGCCAGTCCTCATTTTCAGAGCCCTC